GGTTGTGGGTTCAATTCCAGGTCAAGGGCAAGTACCTGGGTTGAGGTTCGATCCCTGGCTCTGGTACGGGAAGCAACCAATCGCTATGTCTTTCTCACATTAATGTTTCTCTTTCTCTTTTTCTCTCACCTTTCCAGCCTCCTTCCACTCTCTCTGAAGAAATCAATGGGGTGGAGAGGAGGAGGGAATAATCCTCCAGTGAGGATTAACAACAACAAAAAAGGATAGTTTCTCTTATAGCTTTTCTAACTGAACTTATTTCACTTAACATAATATTTTAAAAGCTAAAAACCATGTGATTTCACTCATATATGCAATATAAAACTGAAACTCATAAACAGACAAAGAATAGTGGTTACCAGAGAGGGGGATAAAGGAGGCCAAATATAAGATGACAGATTATTTAACTTTGGGTGGTGAACATACAATGCAATATACAGATTATATATCATAGAATTGTACATTTGAAGCCTACATAATCTTATTAATCAATGTGACCCCAATAAATTTAATTAAGAAAATGGAAAGATTCCTTTTTCCTGATTCTTTGCTCACCGAGAGAACTGCAATTAGGTCTCCTGTCAATCCTTTCCTTTGAGAGAACTTGCTGCCTACACATATATGGTACCAAATTCTATTATAGGCAGCTTTCCCAAGAAAAATGAAGCTGTTGACATTATCACTTACTAGTATAAATCAGGCTCTTGCAAAGTTGGTTTGTGTGAAATGATCTCCCAAATCAAGTGACAAATGTGAGATGCTGGATGCTCAGACTGTATTTGTTGCAGATGGGTCCTGAGAAGGCTGTGATAGGCTGTTCCTTTGATCACCTCCAGTGATTCATACTCCCTGGTGCTCACATTCTGGTGTAATTGCAGCCCTCTTTGCCTCTGAGTTTGACCATGTGTCTAACCTTAGCCGGTGGAACATCAGCAGACAAAACATGAGTGCAGGCTTGCTTTGCTTTTAACTCGGAACTTGTCCTCATGGAGTATCCCCTTTTAGAATCCAGCTCCTGTGCAGAAGCCCAAGCAGCTATGTGGAGAGGTCACACAAAAAAGAAAGAGGACCTTGCTAAAACCAGTTTGGCTCAGTGGATAGAAAGGTCCCAGGTTCAATCCTGGTCAAGGACGTGTACCATGGTTGCGGGCACATCCCCAGTAGGGGGCGTGCAGGATGCAGCTAATTGGGGTTTCTCATTGATGTTTCTAGCTCTATATCCCTCTCTCTTTCTCTCTGTAAAAAAAATCAATATATATATATTTTTTTTTTTTAAAGAAAAGAGGACCCTGATACAATCCCAGATGAACTCCCAGCCATTAGCTGACACCAACTCTCAGTCACGATGAACAATGCCACTTGGAACTTCCCTTTATCCCAGTGTCCCAGCCCTGACAGAGTTTTTCCTTTTCGTAATACTTTTGGCAATTATACTCTAACTAGAGGCCCAGTGCACAAATTCATGCACTGGGGGGGGGGGGGTGTCCCTCAGCCCTGCCTGCACTCATCTCATCCCTTCTCCCATTTTCTTCCTTCTTGTTCAGAATGGCACATTGATATGTCCCCATATCTGCTGTCCTAGGAGGTGCTTCTTTCTTGCAGGTGCTTACTGACTCTTGATGCCTCTCCCACTCGGATTCATGGAAGGGAGACCACATACCCCCTCCCAAATCCAACATGAGGAGGGGATGCTCTCTGAACATTACACTCCAAAGATGAACACCCAAGGGAGCCTGTCTGCTCCTCCACTTTTCCCTTTTGCTTTCTTACACAGTGGAAGAGGGTGGGGGTGGACAGTGGCTGGTGAACTAGTGCAGCAGAGCTGAGCTAGAAGTACTAACATTAAACTGTGTTAGGTCCAGGTGGCCAGGAACTGCTTGCAGGAAGGGGTAGTAATCTGCTTGGCTCCCTGACCTGGAGACCAAGGTCTTCCTACTTGACAGTCTAGTCTTGCCTAGGCTCAGGGGCAGATAAGTTTTACTTGAAAATTTATCTTTGGGTCCCTGCTCTTCCATTTACCAATGTCTGACCTTGGACCTTAATCTCTAGGTTTACTTTTCTCATCTGTGTAGTGGGGATATAACATGAATTCAACTTATCCTTCTGGACAGCCCCTCCTGCCTGCTGCTTGAGTTCCACCATCTTGGATCCCACCTTTTGGGAATGCCTGATTCTGGCACCTAAATGCTCACATCCTAGTATGACACCTTTAAAAAGAATTGAACCAGGTTGTCTGCATTTGGCCTTCTCTCACCTCACTTTCTGCCAAAACTCAAGACACTCTCCACAGCTTCCTCCTATCGATAGATATTTAGGTACCAGGCCTGAACTCATCAGTACAGGAATCTACCCCAGTCCCACTGCTCCTGCTTAAAACTGAGGACTCCTCTGCAGCCAAACCAAAGCTGGCCCCTCACAGTTTGGCTCTATGTTAGGAGAGAGAATGCTTTCTTCCTAAAGTAGTCTTTCCTATCCCATTGTCTACGGTTTTTACCTAATTTTGTAACCAACCCTGTTTCAAATTTCATCAGTCAAAATGCATTTGGGTCACCCAATATCCTCATTTTTAATTTTTTTTTTTTTGAGTATGAGAACTCTAGTCAGTTGAATCTTAATAGGATTTTTTATTCTGCAGTTACCTCTTATCATATTTGGGCTAGGTATTACATTTACTGAGGACAACTGGGAAAAATGTGTAACCCCAGAAGTTTAAAAGAAAAATGAATTCATGAAATTTCCGTGAAGATTATAATGGATTACACATCGGTATTATGTTAAATAACAATTCAACACACCACTATTAAGTCCAAATCTTAATCTATAAACTGTTATTAGAACTACATATGTGAATAAGATATGTTGCTGCCTGTGAAAGCTCAAAATTTAATTGCAGTGGTTTTTAACATTGTAAGTGACATCACAAAAACCCACTTAGGGAACCTGCTAAAAATCATAGCCCATTCGTAAAATGTTGAATTGTTTGAGAGCTTAAATATCTTAAATATCATTATATTCTTCTGCCCATTTCTATTAGAAAGGTAGTATTTTTGTTTTTTATTTTTGTGGTTTTTTTTTAAATATATATGTTATTGATTTTTTACAGAGAGGAAGAGAGAGGGATAGAGAGCTAGAAACATCAATGAGAGAGAAACATCAACCAGTTGCCTCCTGCATAGCCCCTATTGGGGATGTGCCTGAAACCAAGATACATGCCCTTGACCAGAATCAAACCTGGGAAATTTAAATCCACAGACCGACGCTCTATCCACTGAGCTAAACTGGTTTCGGTAAAAGGTAGTATTTTTGACTGGTCCATCTTGGCTAATGCCACTCATGTGAGTAAAGATACTTCGTCTCCAGATTAGAAACTGACAGGCCATACTCACTGTGCTCTGTCTGTTCTAACTCGTGAGCCACATAACTTATAAAATAATTGTTTTATGCCATGAAGTTTTGGGATGGTTTGTTATTGGAGTAAGAAAATATTGCTATTTTTTAGGTTCAATGTCCATAAGAAACTCTATGTTTTTCCATAATCCTTGTGGATTTAGGACCAGAGTTTAAGAATTAATTCTATAACTTTAAAACTAGTTAAATTCACAAAAACAAAACAAAAAAAAACTGGACATTTTACAGTTGTAAGTCTAGTAGCTAGTATCACAGTCGTGAACATAATTTTACCAAAAGTTATACATAAAATCTTGTTGCCAATATTTCCTCTGATAAAATCTACTTATTATAATTTCCAATGTCTATAAAAATAAAATAATATCTACACAGAGATTCACAGGGGAAATACATATTCAACTATACTGCTGAAGGAAGTTCAGTCTTGAAGTTGCTAAGGGACTAAACAATTGTCTATCTTGAAACTGATGGAAAGAAAGTATCTCTGGCTATTCAATTTTCAAATTGCTAGGCAACGGTCCTATCGGAATAAAGTAAATTCTCTAAAACAAACAGGATGAGGTTTCTGTATTTTTGTCCACTGGTCCAGACAGCTGCCAGCCAGGTTCTGGTGCTTGTAGCTGGGTGAGTTACAGAGCTCTGAGGTAACCGTAAGATTTGGTTTCCTTTTCAAGATGGTATATGACTCCATTAGGCAATTGTTCTATGTTGCACTCAGGGTTACTAGGCAGAAACATTTAAAAGAATTTACTTATCCTGAGACACTACTGTAAAAAAAATTATGCAAAGGTACATTTAAAGAAAAGAAGTGTTTATTTTAGGCCATCCACTAGGATCATAATAAATAATGCAATATACTAATAACAGATGTTTTCATGCATTTATCATATTTATAAATTTACAAAAAACAAAACTGGCTTACAGGGCTGTTGGGACAAGTTTAGAAGAGTGTATTTGGCAATACAGTAAGAGTTAACAGTGTTAAGACTATTAAACAGATTCTCTTTACTATTTTTTTAAAAAATACATTCTCTATATATCTGTGAATAAATGGTAATGTTCCTTTATAGTTTCTACTTTTTATAAACATGCCAGAGCTAAACCAATTGTCAAGAGATCCAAGTTGATAATGTGTTATTTATTAGTATTTCTAATGGGAAACAGATTTTTTAAAAGAAATAAAAATTAACTCTGCATTTAAATATGGAGGCTGATATATTATAAGCCAGAATCATTTAAACAATATAATATACCTGAATGAAATAAAACCCTAAAATAGAAGTTTATAAATAGTAACTTTGATACTCTATACAAATGCTGTAGTATTAAATGTTTGTAATTTGATAAATGACCAATTATCCAACTGCAAAAGTGGTGAACTTTGATTAAAGCTTAATTTTGCTAGTAAGTTTCATACACAAAGAGTTAAAATAGGGTAAAATTTAACATAAATAATTTAAACATATCTTAAACACTGAAAATGTGTTATGTTATTTACAGTTAGTCAGTGATACCAGTGTATAGCCAATTGCCAGTCTTAAACCCTTTTCAACATCTGCTAGAATAATCTTCCTTTTAAATACTTATGAAAATCAGTTTAGTGAAGGAGAGCGATCTGTGGTCCAGAGTAATTCGATATATGGCCATTTGGTTTGAAGACAGCGTTTAATAGGAGTGTCATCTGTTTGTAGCATGGGATCTTCAAAACCCATAATAACTGCAGTCCCTTCCACATACATGACCTGTTGAACAAAATAAAGTCACTAAGGTAAATCAATATTCTCAAAAAATTCTTATGAGGGATACAAAATTTTTCATAGGCAAGCAAAGAAGGCACTGCATATTATTTCATGTGAAACTTTACATATAATTTAATTATGACAGAAATTATGATCAAGAATATCTATTTACTGATTAATATGAAAATAAATTTGGAAACAAGATGGAAATACAGATTTCACTGCTAGGTGACCAGTTGATTTTTAGATTGTAAGTTTATGACAAGAAAAAGCATTTAAAAATCTGGAAGCACATTGTTTCTGATAAAAGAAATTTCATTCTTCAAATAATATATATCACTTGGAAGACATTATTTATATAAATATTTATGTAGTTCCTAGTGTTTTAATATTGAGGCTATTAGATGATCACTTGCCCACAAAATAAAAAGCTACAATAAAAATATAGCTCTAAAAAAAACAATAACTGTGTTTACAGACTTAAATTTTCTTTTTTTCAATTTAAGCAATAAAATTCCATAGCTAAAAGCAATTTGGATGCCTGCCAATGAAATTTGCTATTTATTGTATTAAATATTTCTGAAATACTTCTCATGACTGTACTGTGTACAGTATGAAAAATTATGGAGAAAATACTGGAAAGGGTGTCAGGACAGAAACAAAATCAAAGAAAAAGGTTGATATATAAAACTAACCAGGTAATTTATATGTAGTGGCAATGATCATATCAAATATAAACTGGCAGGTGGGTATCAGAAAAATATTTTATTCTGATTAATTTATAATAACAATCTTTTAGAAGTATCTATGTGAGCCTTAACTTATTATAAAGGCTCACTGTGTATATTAAGCCATTCGATCATTAATTTCTTTTTGTCCAAGGGAAATTCTGATTGTATAATTTAAAGAAATAGATTTAGAATGCCTTCTTCCAAAGTACACATACCAATTTTTACATATTCAATGGCTGATATGCATGACTGCAATTATGTTCTTCCAATATAAAAGTCGTAAGCTATTTGACTACGGAACCAAAAGAAATCACATCATTACCCTTAAAGAGGAGTTTCCTTACAAGACACATTAAATATAGGAATAGAGCATATTATAGTAGTAGGTCAGATAACTTGGTTTCATGAATATATTCCTTTTTTAGGAAGCTCTAAAGACATTCTTTAAAGTGAAATACTTATTTTAATTTTGGTTAATATATTAGTTGGCTTCTAGTTTTGATTAAATAAATTTACATTTAAAACTACAACTCATGCTTTTTAACTCCCCCAAGTAAAACTTTATTTTCTGAAAAGTTGTCTACAAAGAATACAATTCAAGTTATTCTACTTAGCTGCATGAAAAATTATGTTAAAAATTAAAAAGATGTCAGGACAGAAAAATAAATCAAAGAGAAAGGTTGATATATAAAACTAACCAGGTGCTTTGTATGCAGTGGCAATGACCATGTCAAATATACACTGGCAGGTGAGCATCAGAAAACTTTACTCTGATTCCAGCAGCGTGACCTGCCTCCGCGGCCGAGAGCTGGTGCAGCCGCTGGATCACACTCCCTCCCACTTGGCCAGCTTTCTCCCTTTGTCTGTCTCCTCAGGCATTTTGAATGGTATCTTATCAGACAGTCTACCATATTTCTAGTTCCTAAGTAACTTCATAACATCCTACCTCTGCAATCTAATGACATACATGCTTTGCTCTATATTCTTACACTATTACCACGAGAATATTTCATCTTTGATTTCTGATCTTTTTGTTAGTATGTCAGATGCTTTTCATGAGCATGATATGAACTTACTATACACAGGTAGCGTGACCACGGACAGGATTGGGAATCAGGAACTCAGTTCCAATCCCTGCTCTGCCAGTGACTTCCTGTGTGACCCTGGGTGAGTCACTTAATCTCCCTGTCTCAGATGCCTCATCTGTAAAATATGGATAATATTTGACTGATCTACCTTGCAGGGATTGTGTGGGTGAGTAGTGATTCTAAAGTACCTCTTATTACAAGGCTATGTAAAATTTCAAAATCTAGATGAAGCACTCATTAACACATCAGGAAATAGCATCCAAGTTTTCTTATTATCAAATTCGTATTATTTTACTATGTATTTTACTATGTATTACTTGTGAAATGATCCTTAGATCTAATTTAATAACACATCTAATTTATATTTTGTTAGGAATATAAGTCTCAGTTTTTTATTTGCTCTAACTAAAATTATGTATTTAGTGTACCTTACAATCTATTTTCTGTAGCCATCCTCAATTTAGATAATTATGAAACCAGCATGGTTGTTTCAAATGAAAAACCATGTTAGGCCTCACTCCTTCTAATATTAGCTATATATTTCTACTATGATTGCTACCTGAATAAATGCAAACATAACAGATAGATGATATATGTAGACAAAGCTAATATTTAATTAAAAAGGGTATATCAGTGAGACCAACTTTGGGTTAAACAAGATAAGTACATGGGAAGTAAGTCACTTTGATGCCTTTTTCAATGATTCATTTAAAAAGGAAAGCAACAAAGCATAGTGGGTAAGAGTACAGGCTCTGAGGTAGAACTAAGTTTCAGTCCCAGTTCTGCCATTTAACTGGCTGTTCGACCTTAGCAAGGAGCTTACCTCTCTGTGCTTCAGTTTCCTCTTCTGTAAAATGGGGATATACAGACCATACTTACTTCATAGGGTAGAAGGAAACTTCAGATAAAACAAAGTTCTTAATACAATTCCAGATAAATGTTCCATAAGTGCTAACTATTACGGTTATTAATCTAAATCCTTTAAAAGTATTTTTCTCATAAAAAATCTTTTACCCCTTTCTATACATGAATTGATCAGCAACTTTCACTGGACTAAACTATAATGTTGACATAGTAATATTTACATAGTCAAGGATACCAACATGCACAGAGATGTAGTTATTTTGTCACAGTGAAACTATTACTTCAAATTCTAATGAAGATTTCAGAGTACTATATATTGGTTAAATCAAAATATGATCTGTTCTAAAATATCTTGTATTAGTAAAGAGACTCTTAGAATAATCTCCGTAGGTAACAATTTTGTGAGAATCAAACATTGTCATACATTCATATATTTATTTTATCAACCCAGGTGAAGACAAATCGCTATGCGAATGAATTGTCATACCTTTTCATTATAATTAGACTGCTTCAGTCCATTGTAGTGGTAGACAGTAAAAGACTCTGGACCACTGGAGCCCTATTAGAAATAAAGTTTAAAACTTTAAATTATATCTTTATATCAGACACTTTATAATTAGCAATTGAAAATAAAATGCAAGTTTCTGAAATCTTCATTCGTTGATGAAGGAATCACTAGATAAAGCATGAAACTTAGATTTATACAGTTACAACCAGAAAGTCTAAAAGCTGAGATATTGTTTCTTGGGAAGAGGCAGGAAAGTGGAAAAGTGTTGATTTTTGTGCATATATTACTGTTAACTTCTTTAAAGAACAGATTCTAAAATATAAAATTACTTTTGCAATACCATGTGCATGTATTACTGTAACTTCTTTTTAAAGAACAAGGTTCTAAAACACAAAGTTATTTCCTAAAATGTTATCTCTGACTTTTTTCTGGTTGTATATAATTTGCTTCTCTCAATAAGTGTGAAAGGACAGGAATATTAGGAATATTACTTTTACTCAGATCACACACATATATGCACCAATACTTCCAATTTGGCACACAATAATGAATTAGGGGTTTCCATCCCCACAATATTATCTGAGTATTGTGAACTATTAAGTAATGAAAATAGCAAGCATTGTAAGAAATGAAAACATAATTAGTGGTTAGAGACTTTAACAGCATTCAATGAAGAAAGGATATTGTATAGAATAGATCATTATACTAAACTTTCAGAAAAACGAATCATTATTCTTACTGTCTTAACACTTGATTCTTGGTTAGCTAAAGATCAAGTTTTCAACTCTTTTAACCTAGCATTCAAGGCATCGATGAATAGTCTGATACCACTGAAGGTGCCTGGCTCCAGTGATTTCCCTCGAGGCCTGTGGCTGTCTTCCTGGGCCTATCCCTTGTCTTCCTGGCCACGTCTGATTAACATAAGGATGTGAATGTGACTTAGCTGAACGAGCATCTTCCTTGGAATTTCCCAATTGCAACTAAGGGAAGAGAGCTGCTGGCAATTGAAAAACAATATGCTGAGAGAATGCAACTATTACAGAGAGGAAGGATATAAGAAAAAAGACTGCCCCAGTCTTAGAATACTTAGTGTTGCTTTTGATGCTTCTTCAAATCCTCTGAGCTACTCCTTCCTATTCATACTCACCCCTCCATTTAAGTCAGTTCAGTCTGGGGTTCTGTGATTTGCAACCAAGACTCCTACAATATAGGACCTAACCTACCTTTTCAATCTTACGGACCAACTACTCATCTTTCTGAATTCTCATTTTAGGTGGATATGTTACTCATTTTCCCATGAAAAGACCTTTTGTTAATGGCTCTTTGCATATTTACGATAGCTTTTACTCCTTTCTCAAATGCCCTCTTTCATTTTCAAGACCTTGTACAAACCTTGCTGTTTCTGCAAAGTTTTCTTGAACACACTAGTTTGGTTGTTCATAATTTGGAAACCTTTATAACAGTAATTTTTAAAAAATATTTTTAATTGATTTTTTACAGGGAGGAAGGGAGAGAGATAGAGAGTTAGAAACATCGATGAGAGAGAAACATCAATCAGCTGCCTCCTGCACACCTCCTACTGGGGATGTGCCCGCAACATGCCCTTGACCAGAATCGAACTTTCAGTCAGCAAGCCAACACTCTATCCACTGAGCCAAACCGGTTAGGGAAGTAATTTTTTTCAAAAATTAATTTGGAAAAGAATCATATTCTACTTTGCATAATCTCTTTAGGTGTTATTTTGAAAGGTAATTTAAATTTTCTATTTTTTAACTTTTCATTCTTATATTTGCAAATAAATCCAAGCTCTCTTATAACTTTCTTGTATCTTACACAAAATGCTTCACAATAAATTGAATAATCAACAATTTATTTCATCATTTCCTCAACTGTATATATGAATCAATAGAATTACTTAGATAAATAATTTGGTTGTTGATTTTCAGAGTTAATGTACTTTAACTTACACTATAAATATCAACTGCGGTTGAATACAATTTATATTCTCTAGTTCCAGTCATTAACAACTGGCATAAAATACTGAAATATCAAAAGGTATTTTAACACAGTGGTAAAATGCTTAGTCTCTGAGGTCAGGTGATCTACACTGGACTCTTGTTTCAGCCATTTACCAACTGTATGACCTTGAACAATTTAAGTTTTATAATCCTAAATTTCCTCATTGCCAAAATAGGGAAAATATTACCTAATTTATAAAGCACATAGTGCCTGGTGCATAGTGCATGTTTAATATGTGGTAGCTGTAACTGCTGTTCTATTATAAACAAACTAGAGGCCCAGTGCACAAAAATGCATGCACTGGGGGGGGGGGGGGGGTGTTCTTCAGCCTTGTCTGCATCCTCTCACAATCTGGGACCCCTCAGGTAGGGTCCTAGGTCTGGCCTATCGGGGCTTTCCTTCCTTGGGCTTCAGGCAGCTGGCTTCACCCATGCCACTGCCACTGCTTGCCATCTGTGCAGCGCTGCCCCCCTTCCCTGCCACCGGTGGCCTCCCTTTGCAGGTGACAGGCTGGAGTGCAATGGCTTGGCTGACCTGGGCCTCCCTCTTTCTTTGCTGGGGGTGGGGCCCGCCCTGCGACGGGCTGTCTGCCTACCTGTTCACCCCTAACCGCTGGTCTGCCTACCTGATCAGCCCCAATCATTCTACCTGCCTGTCTGATTGCCCCTAACCATTTGCTTGGGGGCAGGGCCAGCCCAGTAAGGGGTCATCTGCCTACCTGATCTCCCCTAACCACTTGCTTGCCTACTTGATCACCCCTCATCCCTGGGCAGCCTACCTGATCACTCCTAATCACTCTGCCTGCCTGCCTGATTGCCCCTAACCACTTGCTTGAGGACGGGGCCATCACTGACTTCTGGTTGGTCAGCCTCTGGTCATTACTGGTCGTTACGACCCAGGGCTTTTATATATTAGGATTGCCTTGAAATGCTTATGAGTATTTCAAGTTTCTTCCCCTGCCTCTGTCTCATAGCAAAGAATGCACTTCCACAGCATCTACTTCAAGCATCTGTAAAAATTACTAAAGTTAAATATTTCCTGGCTGTCCCTCTGACTAGTTTTATAACTTTACTTAATATACTCCTGGTGATTAAATGTTTACTGTAGTGTCACTCTAGTGATCTGTTAGGTACAAAGCAGTATATGAATAATGGCCAAAATGAGGAATAGTGTCTATTTACATTTTGTGACTATATAGAAAGAGGACATCAGTGGTGTTGAGATAGAAAAACAGGACTAGGCAGGCAATCAGGGACAGGGACCATGTGGAGGCAAACAAAGGACCTAGAACAAGCTAGGTGGAACCCGGCTGGTGGTGAACAGTGCTGTCACTCCAGAACCTGAAGTGGCAGTCCTCAATTAGGTCCTCCCACAGGTGGGAACTTGAATGTTGATATAATTGGATATTGCCAGAAATCCTTGAAGGGACCAATCAAAAGCTAGCAGATGAGGGCATGTGCTAGGGGGAGGAAGCAGACTAGGAGGGGTCAATGAGGGGAAAAAGGAGACATATATTATAGTTTAAACAATAAAGAATTTAATTTAAGCCCTAACTGGTTTGGCTCAATAAATAAAGCATCAGTTTGCGGCTTCAAGGGTCCCAGGTTTGATTCTGGGCAGGGGCATGTATGTACCTTAGTTGCAGGCACATCCCCAGGAGGGGTTGATCGATATTTCTCTCTCATTGATGTTTTTAACTCTCTATCCCTTTCCCTTCTTCTCTGTAAGAAAATCAATAAAATATATATTTTTAAAATTTTAATTAAAAAAATAAAAAAAATATTTCTTCCCTTTGGAGGGGTGGGGGGGGAAGCTAGCAGAGTATATGAATATCCCCTAGACAAAGATCTTAAGCATATAGCCCATTTTGAGTCCCCTTCCTGCAGCTGGAAGCTCGGATAGCACCCCCAAACTCAAAGCTTTGCTCCCCCCGCCCAATAAAGTTTTTTCTTCCCATCATTTTTGTCTGTGGATCCATTCTTTGTTTTTACAAGACAAAGAACTTGGACCCAACCATATTTTGAGTTTCAGTATGAGCTCTGATCAGAAAAGTTCTGTGACACTGAGAGGTCTAAGCTCTTACAGGGTGTGAATAGGTAAGAATGACAGGTCCAGTGGGTCTCAAACTTTGGCTCTATCACATCAGAATCTTCTGGAGGGGATGTTCAAATCCACTGCTGGGCCCTATCACCAAAGCTTCTGCTTCTCTAAGTCTGGAAGGACCTGAGAATTTGCATTTTTAACAAGTTCTTAGAGACCACACTTTGAGAACCCACTGCTCTACAGGGAATCAAGAGCAGAATCACATGCTTTGGTTGAGGAAAGAGCATGAACTACAAAGGGGCAACGAGATGAGTCAACTTCAGAAGCTATGTTTGTTGAGGAGAATAATAGAAGGAAATAAGCAAGCAGTAAGGCATGAACTTGGAGAGAACAAACAGAATAAACAAATGGAAAAAGAGAAGGGGTCCAGAATTCTCTTTAATTACCTCAAGGAATACTAAAATTAAAAAATTTCTTGAACTATTAAGTTCTTAGAATAATTATAAGCAGTATTATGTAATTTCTCTAAAACATTCTGACAGCAACCTTGAAATAAATTAAAAGTAAAATTAATATCATTGTCTCAAAAAAGTTTAAAATGCTAAAATTTATTAAACATTTATTAAGATATCTAAAAATCAGCATTATATTCCAAAAAATAACTTTAAAAAAAAACTCTAGCAGTTGGAGTATAAACAAATGGCATCACAATCCAAGAGTCTTGCTAACAATATCAGAAAAAAGAATCTATTTTTTCATAAAGTATTTACAAAAAGTTTTAAAGTCTAATAGATATATTGTAAAATCCTTACTTTTTGAATTTTTACCTCACTTTCTTTAATCACAGTAACCATAATAGATACCAGTTTAGAAAATTTAATAAATTTTCTTTTTTAATTACCAAATTTAAATATTAATAATATTGTCTACTGTTAAAGATAAATCTGAGACATCAAATTTCACAATTATATCTTGAAATTTAATAATTTTATCTTGACATTTTCTTCTTACCACTGTTTTTTTTTTTAATTTAAATTTATTGGGAGACTGGTTAATAAGCTAATATAGGTTTCAAGTGTACATTTCTATGATATATGATCAGTATATTGCATTGTATGCCTACCAAAGTCAAATCATATTGGTTATCACCATATATTTGGTGCACTTCACCCCTTACCACCACCCCACTTGCCTCTGGTAACCTGCATACTGTTGTCTGTGATTATGACTTTTAGTTTTATATCCCACATGAGTGAAATCAAATGGTTCTTAGCTTTACCTAACTGACATATTATGTTTAGCATGATATTCTCAGGGTCCATCCATATTTCATCTTTTCTTATGGCTGAGTAGTATCCCATTGTATATGCACATCTTCTATACTCAATTATCTATCGAAAGACACGTTGATTATTTCCGTGTCTTGACCACCATGAATCATAATGCTGCAATGCACATAGGGGTGCACATATCTTTGCAAATAAATGTTTTCAATTTGGGGGAAGAGATATCCATAGGAGGGATTGCTAGGTCATATAGTTAACTCTACTCTTAATTTTTTGAGGAATCTCCATACTGTGTTTCATAGTGTCTGTGCCAGTTTACATTTCCACCAGCAGTGAATGTGGGTTCCTTTTCTCCACACCCTCTCCAACACTTGTTTCATGTCTTGTTGATAACAGCCATTCTAACAGGTGTGAGGTGCTATCTTATCGTTTTGATTTGCATTTCCCTAACAGCTGAAGTAGAGCATCTTTTCATGTATCTGTTGGTATTTATATGTCTTCTTGGTCCTCTACCCATTTTTAATTGAATTATTTGTTGTTTGGTGTTGAGTTGTATGAGTTCTTTATAAATTTTGGATATTTTTCTAACGAAATGATCACAATGTACCTAGCTAAATAATTTGGTTTATGGTAACTCCTCCACTTGAATAAGAAACACAAGAAAAGACAGATGTTGGCTGTAGAATTGGCTTTCCAAGGACACAGACATAACCTAAAAGAGTATAGAGACTAGCACAGTTTCTTACTAACTGAGAAGCTATCGGAGCCTAATGGAAGACATGTCCCAACATGACACAGCACAGCTTCGCTCAAAGGTTTTTCTTTGACTCACTTAAAAGTGCCCTGGAACTTAGGTTCACCAGTAGTACACTCACTTCATATAGGCTCCTTTACCTCTTTCTAGTATTTAGAATGTACTGAAAAGATACATACCAATCTATTGACACTAGTTACCTAAGAAAAGGAAAATAGGGGTGGGAATCGAAAGAGTCTTTCACTTTTTACTCCCCATACTTCTGAATTTTATCTTTATAAAAATAGTACCATTACCAGTATGTGTATATATTGGAGTATACAATATATTCCACTGCTCCTCTACCTCATAGTTCTGTATGGCACATATGTACCCTTCAGTCCTCTCTGTACAATACTGCAATCAAACAACAACACTGCTTTTTTAGTCTCATATTTACATATTAGAACATTTTAAATGAGTAAGAAAAGTGCTAAAACAATCACAGATGATCATCCCAATAGGACAAAACATTTCTTCAATTATGTTACCTGATCAGGAAAAAATTCTTGAAGAAATGGACCCAATAGTATGATGCCTAATCCTTCTGGATCTAATTTATTCTTCATGAGATTTATACTGCAAGGAGAGTAAAAAAAAAAAAAAAAAAACGACAGTGGATAACAAAGGAAAAAAGCTTATTTTTCTTCTTTCATGATTAAATTACTGGTACTATAACACTTTGACTGCCAAAAATCTTAAGAACTGTTCTTTTTAGCCTCTTAATGACAAATACACAGGAATGGCATCTGATTTGCCAAAACTTGGTTATTTTTAAAACCAGAGTAATCTGTTACTATTTAGAATTTAAATTATGACGATGACTTTGGAATACTGTTCCTTATTAGGTAAAGTAATTTAAAAACTTAAGCTTCTAAGCACAGACTTATAATCCCCCAAGGGCAAATTTTCTTTGCTTCATAGGTATGCCTAAATTTAACAATCAAATGAGGCATTTAACTTAAAAATGTTTACTTTTAAGCTCAAGGAGAAAAAAGGAACAAGGTCAAAAGGAAATGGTGCATCAAAAACATCTCCTAAGAAGCTTTCCAGAACCAATTGAGGTGGAGGCTTAAAATTCTTAGGCAATGTAACTTGAGGTAAGATAATTCTCCAAGAGCTAAGATATAGTGAATTATAAGTGGTATGTGCTTGATTGTCCAGTATCAGCCTAACTGGATAGTGCTTTGCCACAGCCCTTACCATGTTGGTGTAGCCAAGGCTGGTGAAAGGTATTACGTGTGATTAGAAAGAAGGCAGAGAAAAAAAGCAGACTGGAATTGGGTTTTTAAAATGAAAACTTTCTGAGAAGAAAATTTTCATTCTCCATATTATCTCCCAAACTATAAATGCCAAGTTAAATATGCCTTATTGTTAAAACATGCAAAAGATGTGACATTTTAAAAGGTCTGAGTAAGAGCAGGAGGTTATGACATGAAACAAATGAAGGCAAGGTCACACTTTATATAATCCATCTAATTTATTAAGCCTAAATTTGGCCCTGTTAATTTATGGGCCATTACATATTATAAACCATAATAAAATACAGAGTGAATAACTGAGTCTCATCATCTTTGAGTTACTTCTAGAAAGACAATCTAACTTATACTAACTTTATAATTCAAGGTAGGGTATGTATTTTAAGGAAACAAGAAAAATTTAATAATCTATGTAAGAATTGGGGGGGGGAAATCACTTTTCCTTTTTCCTCCCTCCTGTTGTAAGAATTATCAGTAACCAAAAATACCTGAGTTCAATTCTCTTTTGCAAATTAGGGCAATGAAAACAATATGATCTCCATTTGGAAATCAGTTTAGATGAAGTACGTTAATTACTATTATTCCATTTATTGGACTAGTTCAATTCTTTAAAGTTGAAAACAGCAATTGTGTCTGTTAAGAATGGGTAACATTATAGCTATAAGTAGTAAGACTCAGTCAGATATTAATTCAGATGTGATTAGTTTGTATATGCATTTCATACTTTCAAGAAAACACACCTGATTTATTTCAAAACAAAATATGGTCAAGTTTTAAAAACTATGTGCATCAATATATTTTACATTGTTTTTGCTGAATCCTTTCCTTAAATATTTTGTAAGCTAGTTTGTTCATTGCCAAACATATTTTTCCTAAGAAAAATAACTTATGCAGGTAAAACAAAAATTAGTGTACATCGTAGGTGATCTTTATTTTATTTCCATATTTGATCAAGATACGTATCCCCTTAAGAGAGATTTTTTCATGCATAATAAAGATCCCACATTTATGGAAGAAGTGATAGATGTAGCAACTGTGCAGATATAACAGTGAGACTGAAGACAGTAACATAATATTAATGTTAGTCAATAATTCAATACTTTCAGTATTAAAAAACCATATTCTGTGATATTCTGTGTCTCTTACAAGGTTTCGGCTCAGTTAATTTAACCCTCTGTATGCCATAAGCATCTATAGAAGAAAGGATAGTTTCCATTTTGGATGCATGGCAGTTAACTGGTTAATCACATAGAGATGTCCAAGGGCTAGCAATATAGATATTATTATACAGACTTGTCACGACTTTCATTGAAGCTACTAAAGATATGGGCAAAAAAATTTTAAATGGAAAAAGGTTTCAGTGAGAAAAAGACATATTTAGTTTGTTTTAAAATGACATTTATACTTTAGCAATTTTTCAGTAGGATAAATGGGTAGTAAGAGTAATGCAAAGGAAAGCTCATTTTAGTACATCAAGTTTGTGCTAAAATACTGATTAGTCTGATTTATTCCTAAATCTTTGCTTTATATAAAGTACTGTGCTTCATATATGAAGCTTTCAATTTCTTTTAAAAAAGCAAAACTGTATATTTAACATAAATGGAATTTTTGAGTAGTTTAATAATACTTCCTATTTACTTACTATTCAGGATCTGAAACAAGGTCCAACGCTTTCATCACATCTTCTAGAAGTGAATCAGGTATGAATCCATTATCTGGGGGGAAGGGGGAATGGGAGCAACATAAAATATGAGTTTACTTCAAGAAATGGTATTACTGCTGATCAGATTCCAGTGAAAAATCATATAAAATGTATGTAAAGAGTTTAGAACAGCTTATTAAGGTTATTTAGGTATAATGCCTATTATTCTTAGACATTATCTTATATTAGTTTTCCGGGGCACATAGGTAAATATTTATTTTCAAGGTTAGTTTCTGAGAACTTGAAAGAAACCTTAAAGCCAAATTGCTTCTTAAAACAAGCTTACAAATTTAAGTGATAGAAGTTTGTTTTTACTTATAACAAATATTTAGTAATTGGGTATATCTTTCAACAAACAATGTGAACCTTTAAATTTCCTTTAAGAAATCAAGTTAAAATAATTCTTTATTTTCAATATATTCCTTTCATCACAATGTTATTTAATTTTTTGAAGAATGTTAATGCTTCACTGATATTTAGAAAACTGACAATATAAGAACAAGAAAAGATATCCTTATAACAGTCATGATTTAAATAAAAACTGGAGATTTAATGGGAAAAATCAGTAGTTGAAGTGCAGAGTAGAATCAAATGTCGATAAAGACTAGCTTAAGGAAAACAATCCTTTTCTTGGGCTTGATAAGGAAATAGCACTAGCAAATGGCCCAAACGCTAATGATGCAATAGAGTGTGACACACACAAAAAGCTTGCAGGACAGTGTGAAATAACAGTAGTTTTAAACAAACAAGTTGCTTATTCCCTTAAATGTACAGTGCCTGAGTTCTTCTACCCATTCACTCATTCCTGAAGACTGTCTCAGCTTTAAATAAACTTTTCAGGGGTTAGACACTTTTTAAAAAAATCTTGTCAAGGAAAGATATCCAAAAGCCCTGCTTCCACAATCAAGTAACAGAATAAAGTGTAGCTGCTTTCAGCATGTGGCATGTGCTGTCTCTATCAGAAAGAAATAAAATAATTATGACTTTAAAATGGTGTTTTCTTAAACTTCATAAGCAGATATTTATCCATTTGAAGCTAGACTGACCCTGACTAAAAGGCTAAGTAAGGTTCATTTAGGGTAATTAAATAAATTTTAAAAAGTGAAGGTTTAGAATAATTCCAACTTGTCCAGTTACTGGTAGTTCGAGGTAGAGCAAATAAAGAACTTGTTCTTTGTAAGCCTAACTTTGATGAGTTTGAAACGTAGAAAAAATATATATTTGTTTTGCTTAGTTACATCACAGCCAAAAGTTTAGCATCTCTGAACGCAAAACAGGCTTCATTTGGCCACTCGCAGGCAAGAGCAATATCTACCACGGTTTCTGTGCTTGTGGGCTATCATGTGGATCCACTTGACTTGACAGAAGCAGTGGCATTATCCTGATCTCCAAGAGCAGTGAATGGCACAGCCTTATCTATTCTTGCCATAGTCCGAGACTCAGTCCCTCTCCCCCAGGAAGAGCTAACTGGCTGGATAAAGACACAAACAACAGCTAGGAAAACAACAAAGTGCTCTTCTTAACTCAAACACTACCTCAAGCTTAAATGTCCCAATATTTTTAAGGTATGTATGAGATTTACAACTTGTAAACACTTTCTGGAGTACAAGAATAACTGTAATAAGTCAGTGAGTACATTTTGTACATACGGTATTTTAAAACTAGAGATTGTAATATAAATTTCTCAATACCTCGAAGATTTAAACCAACAATTTAAAGAGGAGATCTGGAAACTGCTTATCTCTTTGAAACGTTTATTTTGGCATTACTTTATTCTTTACTCATACCTATTAAGAAAAATTCTTGATACAATTCTTGAAAAAGAACAGAATCATTAAGTCTAAAACCAGATGAAACTAGAGTTTAGTCAACTAATTCCTTAGAGAGTATGGAAATACAGACACAATGATGATAAAGACCTCAATACACAGCAAAAAACAGCAGAGGAAATCTAGGAAAATACAATTGGTTGACTAGTCAGCACACTGAAAAAGTAGAACTTGAATGCATGGGTAAGAACTTAAATACATTAATATAAAAAGGACTTTTATAAACTTGAAAGCTTAGAGGAATGGGGCCCCGAAATGGGGAAAACTACAGAAGGCACAGCAATTGTGATGGTAGCAACCTCTGTATAAATATTAGGATACAGTAAAATTGTGTCTTAAAACGTTTGGAAAAGAGGAAAAAAAGCTGTTTGTTTAAAAATAGGTTTTTTGGTGTGTGTTTTTAAACAAGCAAACAAATTGCAAAAAGGGCCAAGCTCCTAGAGGTTGAGAGTAGAAATAGCTCAGTGCAAAGGAGTAGTGATGCAGGGGAGTGGAGTTAGGTGAGTTTGTAACTTCCTGGGTAAAAGAACCATTTCATAACTGTGCAGAAATCAGAGTTCGATTCTACAGAGAAAGAAGTACCAGTCGTGGTTTCCGTTCTGAAAGATTGGGGAAATAAGGAAGAGCCTGAAGTGGGAGATTGTCAGATCCGTTTTAACTGGGACACTAGCTAAACTGGGTGCTGCAGGAAGAAAGCAAATGTCAGGAATTAACAAAGGGCAAGACACAACTTGTGAAGAGGCTGGGGAAGGGGGAAACATTTGAGACGTAACATTTCCAAACAGCTGTAAATTAGAGAGAGTAAAGCTACTTGGGAATAGAAAAAAAAAAAATCAAGAGCTAGTCAGGGAAAACTTAATGCCACTTTAGTCAAAGAATTACCGTAATAGTTGCTATATATTTACTAAATGTTATATTATACTTTACCTATTATTTTAAAATTTTAATAACATATATGTGACTTTTGCCCCTAGGCAAAGTTAATATATTAATATATTTTCATATTTCAGCTTTCCTTGGTTTCTCTGCCTTGGTATCACTACTGCTTTGCTTAGCTAGCTCCCAATAGGTGAGGAAATCCTGGATGGCAGGGATTCCGTAAGTCCAGGGCCTAGTACAGTGGCTGAAACAAGTACCTGCTCAAAAACATTTGTTAATTTAATTATCCAAGCTAGTCCTCACTGCAAGTTTCAAACTACCTGTTCAGGCACCATAGTTTTGTTTTTTAAAGTTTTGTGAGTTGAACATATAAAGTTCAGAAAGAAATGAGTAATTAATTTATGGCCTGTGTTGGAGAACCACTTCTATCATGTGATGGAAAAACTGCAAAACAAACAAAACATGGTGGCAAGATACAGGAAAAACTATGGCAGAGATAGCATGAAAGAAACAGTGATGACAACACTACAGCACAATGAAGAAAGGCAGTGAAAAGGGAAGAAGCAAAAGTATAGAATGGACCTGGAGAGCATTATGCTGAGCGAAATAAGCCAGTCAGAGAAAGATAATATCATATGATCTCACTCACTTGTGGAATAAAATGAACATAAACTGATGAACAAATGCAAAATTTATTTTCATATGTATCTATGAGGACTCAATTCTGAAAAATTGCCACTGGTTAGACTTTTATATTGGTAATATAAGAAATTCTAACTTCTCTTGTAAATTGGTAGAAGAAATGAATAGTACAAGCCTGCTAACTATTAATAATCAAAAAAAATTTTAAGCCCTAGCTGGGTTGACTTAGTAGATAGAGTGTCCGCCTATGGATCGAAGGATCCTGGTGCGATTCTGATCAAGGGCACATGCCTGAGTGGCGGCTTGATCTCCAGTAGGCAGCATGTAGGAGGCAGCCAATCAGTGATCCTCTCTCTTTACTGATGTTTCTATCTCTCTCTCCCTCTCCCTTCCTCTCTAAATTAAATAAAAAAATATTTAAAATTTTTTATTTTGCAAAAAGCAAACAAACATATTATTTATGACAACTGTATCCTACTTTTAAAACCTTAGTTTGCATCCTGATGGATTTTTTTAAATTAGTATTCTAACATTAGCTTTTAAGAAGTTCAGGTCTCCTATCTGTAAATATTCCTTGACTGAAGGCATTTCTTTATGCCTTTATTCAATAAATTATGATCATCTAAGATCTTTTGATCATTTCCTTAAATGTTTCCTTTCTCAAGAAATTCATTAACTAAGTTTTAATTTCAGTTCTAAAATTTTCATCAATAAGCCGAAACCGGTTTGGCTCAGTGGACAGAGCGTTGGCCTGTGGACTGAAGGGTTCCAGGTTCGATTCCAGTCAAGGGCATGTACGTACCTTGGTTGCGGGCACATCCCCAGTGGGGGCTGTGCAGGAGGCAGCTGATCGATGATTCCCTCTCATCAATGTTTCTAACTCTCTATCCCTCTCTCTTCCTCTCTGTAAAAAAATCAATAAAAATTTTTTTAAAAATTTGTTTTTCACCAATGACACAAATGTAGGGGTATCTAAAAAGGCAGATCAGCCCTAACTGGTTTAGCTCAGTGGTTGGAGTGTCAGCCTTCGGACTCAAGGGTCCCAGATTAGATTCTGATCAAGGGCATGTACCTTGGTTGCGGGCACATACCCAGTAAGGAGTGTGCAGAGGCAGCTGATCTACGTTCCTAACTTCTATCTCTTTCCCTTCCTCTCTGTAAAAAATCAATAATATATATATATTTTTTTAAAGGCAGTTGACATGAAAACCATATGTTTGGTTTTGTAATCATCTATGCTGGTTATAGTGGGATAAGAATATGCTTGATATTGATATCTTAGACATTCACTTCAAATAAATATTAAGCAGCCCTATTAAGACCTGACTGGAAACTCTGGATATATATATATTGTTTTTCCATCATGCCATCCTACATACTTCATCTTATTCCAGAATATTCCATTCTGGAAGGCTTTTTTATCTCATACTGTAATTTATATTAGTATGGGTAAAAACATGTCCTGAAATAGAGCAAGCACTTATATATGTCTTTATAGGATTGCAAAGTGGTACTCTCCTTTAGAATATGATATACAGAAAAAGTGAGCATCTCAAAGGAAGTTTGAGATGGCAGGGGGAAAAAAAACAAAACACATATAACCTTAAATAAATCCTTAAGAAAGTATGCCACAGAAAACTGCTCAACTCATTCTCTGAAATAT